TAAAAAAATTCTGATTTTTGAAATGTCAAACTTTCAACCCGATTTTAGAATGTTGAATATTTAGAGTATGGTTTGGTGTAATTTCCACTTCATAAAATACATGAAACACCTCATGCGTATGCAACAAGCCGATTTTTAACATTGAAAATTTAAAGCATTTACAAATAAATTAAAATCTATATTTTTCTTTTGATCAATGTTATTGCAGATTCTTTCAGCTATTTTTGAAATTATATTGCAATATTAGTATATTATACCTTCAAAATCTGCAATATCGCTACCCTCCATTGGAATGATTTCATGACTAGGACAGATAATTTCTTTATCCGCACCTCCGCCAATATTAAATAAAATAAGTATATAGAAAAAATTCAAAATAAATAAAACCAGTAAAATTTTTTATTCTGCAAAATCTACCTCACTCATCTTGTGCTCTATCCCAAACTTTTAAAACCATTCAGGACAATAACTACACGGAGACCATTTGATGAGTGAGGTTTGGTAGGCTTACTACATAAACAAGAATATAATGTGCCATTTGACTAGTAATTAGACGCGTTCCTTCGTTGAGAAACGTGGTGTCAAGATTCAAATCCTAGAACTATATTTTCGCTTTTAGAAAAGTTAAGGACCCCTATTTTAATTTTTTCACCAAGGACTAAATATGTAAGAAAAATATTTCGGTAACCTTTATCAACTTCTACACATACTTGAATGACTATTGGAAAAATTAACTTTTAAAATTGCAGTAAAACAACCAACCAACCAATCACAGCAGCCGTCCATAGTATAACAATTTTCGGGCAGCAGTTTACGTTCACTTCTTAAATTAATATAAAAAATGCTGAAAAAAACTTGGCTATGAGTAGAAGACGAAAATTTTTATCTATCAAATGAATCGATCGTTGGCTAGCTATATTTGATAAGATATTAAGTCACAAGTAATGGTAAATCTAGACGTATAAGTCATAGACGTAATATCATTAAGCAGTTGATCTCAATGGTATAAACTCGTGATACCTTTAAAGAGATTTACTAAGAGAGATCAAGAATACTATATATAGAAGGGAATGAGGTAAAGTCTACTACGTTAGAATCCTTGTAATGGTAACCCTACCTTGTTGACTAGAGATCTCAAGATCTTGGTTCAAAGGGACAACTAAGTTATGAGGATTCCATGAAGCACTAAGGAAAATAGTTTCCTAACTTATTCCTATAATATTAAAGTATTTTCTGCAGAGTTTTAAGAGGTTAAGATAATCTTTTAATGATTCCTATATTTTGATTAAGTCAAGTGGAGTAGGGCAGAATACTCTTAATAGGAGGTCATCTATATGAGTGTGAAGTGGGGCCGCTTCAATGAGAATTATTCAAAACTTGAATTCTTTAAACACTCGCAGAATCAAGAAGGGTTCAGGGCCGCAATAAATCGAGTCATGAGAACCATGAACGGTTTAGGAAAGATATCTGTGTGAGTATCGTTGTCTTGACTTACACTAAAGGCTGAATGGTTCAAGACATCACGTCCACCAATTAGCTGAGTAAGTCCGATGGTATTTCACTACAGGAGGTTCAAGGTCAGAAGCTACTATCCCCGATGCAGTGGCTTTCCACTCCCTCTCTACTTGCATCATATTATAGTATTACATTTGTATACTCGATTTTCCATTCATGTGGGAGATTGTTGGATTTGGTTCAAATAATTAACCAAAAATTAGAAAGGTGTGTAAAAGTGAAAAATGAAAAGATGTGACTACGTGTCAATTTCGACCAAATATTTGGACTTGATCCGATGGTCACATTATAAAAGTAAATAGACAAACTTATTCTAATCGTCGAGGAGATCGTCGTCGTATATTTGGAATCTCGAAAGCAATTCTGGATGAATGAGAAATTGCGGACCAAAGTTGGAAGAAATGAAGTGTTGCAACTTTTCGAAAGGTGGAGGTTTTGGCCAAGTGTTGCAACTTTTTGAAAGGATATATGTTTTGGTTCACACTACTTCATTTGCACCCTTTCTACATCTATAAATAGAATCATATGGACATAGTTTTGGGTACACCAATTGCATTGAGCACTCATTCTCCTCTTGCAATTCTCTTCTTTCTAATTTTATAGCATTTTCATGCATTTCCTTGGTAGAGAGGAAATTCCGTTCGAGTTCGTTGGTCGAAGCCATTCGGAGTGCTCCTATGGCTTGACATGGTTATTGTATCTTGAGAGATGATTGTCGAAAAACCGTTAGCACCGATGCGGGGCAAATTCATCTTAAGGACCAAGTGTCAAACACTTGCCTCGACCAAAAATTCATCACTTGCATCTTTCTTCCTACAGTTTTCTGATTTCTTTTGATTTCAGAAATGATTAACATTGTTTACATGTTTATGTTGCAAGGTTCGATTAAAAGAACAATTTGCTTTTGTTCAAGAATCGAAAGGGATGAATCCATATCCATGCATTAAGATTCAGTAACTTTTATGTTTTGCTTCTCAAACCTTATTTCGGTAAGTCGAAATTACTTTTCGATTTCACGCAAATAACGGTATGCTTTTGTGAATATAATATACCCGTAATTGGTGTAAATTTCCCCAACACTATATGATATAAGCTTCTCTGAAATGGTAACAGCATTGAGATATAAATTTTATGACATTGTTTTTAGTTGTAAGTTGTTGTCAGGCTTATGTTTTGGCTTCTCCTTCTTTAGGTGCATTCTTGGGAATGACGCTCAACATTTTGTATCTAATTAATTTTACAGAGCGATCATGTTTGAGTTGCTTGAGGTGAAAAACGTCAAGAAAAGGGAAGAGTTGAAAGGAAGAAGATGACGACGAAGAAATTAGACGGGATACTAGAGAGCATTGGTTTATTTTTCCGAGTCATAGTTTACTTTCCTTCTCGTAATCACTTGGTATGAATTGGTTATAGACAGACCCACTGTTTTATCATATGTTTGTTACTATGCTGTTTCTTTCTAAATAGTAAATGCTGCCATTATTGAGAGTTTACACAAAGTTTCCTGTATCTGTAATTGACCCTTTTAAGCTTATGAAGTTCCAAATGCATTACCCTTTGCAATTCTTGGTTTTATGCTTACTACTAAATGAGTTCTTAATGCAGTTAGCTTATTTCATTGCTACCATTTCTAGCAAGACTATACAGATTACATTGATATTACGATTTTGTATTGGTCATTGGTCATATCTTGTTCAAGCTTGAATTTTAATGAAATTGAAAAATCTTTATTTTCAATATTATTATGCATTATGAATTTAATTCTTTTGATCTTGTAATGGACTCTGTCCAGACGTATTGCTGATCAGACTTCAACCAAAGAAAAAAGGTTGTGTTACATGTACAATTTTCATGTACATAGTTGTTAACATCCCCTCACATGGAGGAGGCCCATACATAATATAATATATGTGAGCTCCCTCAATATGAGGAAAGTGTCCTCTATTATATACATCGAAGGTGTACAAGTAGTATTGTCTTAAAAAAAAAATTCCTTCTTTTTGACATATCGTCTATATGTGAACTATTATGTAAGTTTTATATACAAGTAGCACTATTCAAAAGATAAATGGTTGTGGTATATGTATATCTCATCTTACAGATTGACTTATCAATAAATGATGTGACGAAATTTGATTGGGTCAAAATTTCATCAATAAAATTGATTATCTTCTTTCTTTTTTATCGCTTATCAATTTGTAAAAAGATTTTGTAATTGATGATGTACAACAAGCATTTTTTAAAGATAAAATGCAAAATGATGTCGTCTAGTTTTAGTGAATGACCAGCCACGTAGTTTTTAAGGAGAAAAATATATAGCTCCCATTTGTTTCTCATTCTTTCTACATTAAAATAAAAAATGACTGTTATCCATCACATCAAGTCACCGTATTTGAATTTCTATCTCTTATGTGGGGCTCGAAACGGCTATATTTTTTATTCTCATTTTTACATAAATGAGAAACAAACGGGGCCATAAAAAAAAAAAAAAAAAAAAAATCAGATTGTTTGAAAACCACCACAACATATGTTAACTGGTTATAGTACGAGCGCAAGAGGTTCAATTTGGTCGCTTTTTGACAAATTTTTAACTGAATGGTTACAAATGATTTTAAGAAAATCTAAACCAAATCATTTAAAATAGTTTGAAGTTTCTCAAAGCTAAACCTATGGTTAGGTTAATTTTTAAACTGTAGTGATCGTATATTTTTTTTCTTGTAATTGCTTTATCATCACTATTTCAATAATAATTAAATATTTTCACAATTTATTGATAGTTATAAATACTAACAAAATCAAATTAGAGTATTAACAATTGGGGTTATAGAATAAGGATAATTTTTTAACTATTGGTATTTAGTATGGACAATTTACCAAACTATTAATTTTTACATTAAAATTTTATATTTTATTTTAGATGTTAAGATTTGAGTCTAATTTTTGCAAAATAAAATACAAAAAAATTGTTTTATTGTAAATCAGACCAACTGTGACTTATTTCAAAATCATTTCATCAATGAATGCATGTGACACCAAATCAAAAATTTTAAAGAACCAATTTCTATTTGAGTTTTCATTTTGAAAAGTTGGACTATACATTCTTACCGCCCACCGCCCCGTCACAATGATGTAAGGGTGTCCACAATTAAAAAATTCATGTGAGTCTCCTCAACATGTGAAGGGACTGAACACCATAGTGTAATGTTGACAAATAATTTAATCCTAAAAAGTTTGGATTTTTCTATTTATACATTGAGGTGCGTATAGACATTTTCATCCTCGATGAATAAAAAAATCGTGAGCACCAATCACAAAAGGGGGTCAACATTGATGTACAAGTAGACAAACTTGAAAAATTTTGCTTCTAGCTTGAATTGTAAGCAATATAAGCCTAAACAAAGGACAACATGTTACTATACTAATAATATTTAATTACCAGAAGAATAAGAAAATATGAAAAACATGTGGTCAAAAAAGGAATAAGCAATTTCGATTTGATTTTTCACTTGCAAAGTCTGCGTTCTCTACCCCTTCTTCGCCTCCTTTTTAATTCCTCCCATAAAACGCATCCGATTTCGCATTTCGTTACGCGTTCTCTCTAAATTTTAATCAACAGACCACATTAATTCTCCATCCGAAACATATGGCGGAATCCACCACCAATACCAACTCAAAATTTGAATCAATCAGAGAATGGGTCGTCGAACACAAGCTCCGTACAGTTGGTGAGGTTTTAGATATATCAAATGACCAATTTTTTTGGTTCAATTTTGTTACGATTTTGTCAATTAGAAAGTTCTTTACGAACCGAACTGGATTTGCGAATGAAGTTTTAGGATTGAATTTTTATACGCGGATGTTATTATTGATTTGGATTTCTGCTGATGATTTGAATTTGTAAATTAAAGGGACTTTGTGGGCGAGCGGTGTAATTGGATCCTTGACTTACAATTGGTCTCAGCCTGGCAAGACTAGTGTCAAGATCATTCACGCTAGGTAACCTTTTTTTGTCAATCTTCATCAATATATCTAATTCTTCGTTTCAGGGATTTCTATGGCCATTTAGAACTGTGGATTGATATCATAAAATTTCCATAGCCTCTATGATGTTTTAATCTGTTGTTTTATTGAATTGAGTGATGCTAAAAGAAGTAAAAACGAAAGATTGGTGTTAGTCCATTGTGATGGATAGGCTAACACTTGGGAGTGAATCGAAAAATCAAGGGAATGAAGTTTTAGATGGTTTGGGCATATCTTTAGTCAATTCAACGAAGCTCCTGTTATTCAGAAGACGTAGATCAAAACTAACATGGCTTGACGTAGTTGCAAAGATTTGATTTTTTTCGATCTTTAAGCAGATGGGGTGTCATGTAGGATCAAATATAGAAAATTGATATGGTGGATCTTAAGTTTTATTGGGAATAAAGCATAGATTTTAGTTGTTGACAAAAATATCAACATTTAGCATCTACTTGAGTATAGGCCTTGAATGATTCCTAGGTTTCAAATGTTTTCAAAATTGCTATACACGAAAAATACGATTTGATCATGGATGACAATATACAAAGGCGCCTTTCATTTTAGAAGAGTAGGCCGGGTGTTTTTGTGGTTCGTTTCATTTTCATTTCATCACACAGATCATAACATTAACTCTGATCAGCATCCCAATTTTATCATTTTTCCTGCTTTTGTGGATACAATAACTATTGTGAATGGTTCTTTTTAGGTTGGAAAATTCGTCACCTGTACTAAGCTCTGAAAAAATTTCAGGTTGCACGCACAGGCTCTTACACTGGCTGCGCTGGCTGGAGCTGCAGTGGTCGAATACTATGACCGTAAAGCTGGAAAAAATGCAAATCCACATGCTAAGTTCCTTCCTTTGAATGCTTATTCACATAAAGATTAGATGGACAGACTACATTGTGGAGAGGCAACAGATGTTTCTTGCAAAAGTGCAATGTTTATACCTCCCCCTTAGCTCTAAAAATTCAATTTTTTATTGGTAGCATGTGACATTTCTTGTGTTAGGGTTATTTTGTTTCCATTTTTAATATTTCATTTATAGATGACCTTCCTGTATCATGGTTTCATTATTATTAAATGGTTATAAGATTTTTATTTATTTATTATTATTATTTTTTTAATTTCTATATGGCAGTTTAATTTTCCATACTTTCTGAGTAACTTTCTTTTCTTTTTTAAGGTGAAGACCCGAAAGTGTTAATTAGACGCCCTGAGTTACAAAACAGGCTAAAGGGGCGCTCTAATATTTTTATAAAAAATCGCATACTCATATTTTATTTTCCAATTCTTATTTTCGGGTACAATTTGCAGAGCGTATGTTACTCCTATCAAATATGAGCTCATCAATATTACTTTTCCACCACCACCGATGGATAAAACCTTATTTCAACTGGTTCTAATAGAATAAAGCAAAGCAATACATGAATACCTAGTTGGGAAATGCTGGCTATACAGGGCATGTAAAGGCCAAAAATATACAAGGGGGTGGGAGATTTTTTTTTATTTTTTTTTTTGTATATAAATAATCACCCACCCCCACTCCACCCATCTCGGATGCATCTGGCCGGTACAACGAGCATTTTCCTACCTAGTTTTCATCCAACACCAATAAATTAGAGCCGATCCAATAATTTAAAGGTCTGTTTGATTGCAAAAGTGAAAAATGCAAATCAATTTCATATAAGTTGGAAAATAATAAACTACCAAATTAAGAATTCAATTTTCATGGAATTGACCAAAAATATGCTTTAAGGCACCGTTTGTTTCCATGGAAAGTGGAAATTAATTTCCATCTTTGGCAAATTTGAGTGTTTGATGGGGAAGAAGTTCCATGGAATTCATTTTCCATGCAAGCCTCACACACGCCTGTTTCCTCACAATCAAGGAATTGGTTTTCCCACCTATATGGTGGGAAAATGAGTTCTAGGTTTTTAATTTTAATTTTTTGGCAATGGAAAGGAATTTTAGGAACAATTGTAAAAAAATGATATCTATTAAATTGACAATTTTCATATAAAACAAAGTCAAACGAATACCAAAATATAGATGATTTTTGGATTTTTTTTTTTTTTTTTTGTAATGGAAACAAATTCTATCTCCAATACCAGTAAATTTTATCTATTTTGTTGACAATTTTCATGTAAAATAAAACCAAACGAACATCAAAAAACACTTTAATTGAAATATTTTTCACGTGAAAAATTATATCAATCAAATACAATAATTTACAATTCTCGGGAAAACAATTTCCCATCAATTCAATTCCCTGGAATTCGTTTTCTTTCCACCCAAATTTCACCATTGCAATCAAACGGACCATAAGGGAGTGTTTCATAGCATGGAAATTAAAAAAAAAAAAAGATGGAATTGGAATTGGAAATTCCAACTTTTGGTGTTTGATACCTTATATTTTCTATAGAATTGCATTTCTTGGATTTCTTGGAACTTGGAATTTTCCTTGTTTTAGTGGAATTTGAATTCTCACCATATATCGTGAGAATTCAAATTTCACCCTACTGTAGCGATTATTATTTTTTTCGTCTTTTTTTTTGTTGGTAATGGGAACCAATTCTAAGAATTATTGTAAAAAAATATTTCCCTTTAATTGACAATTTTCATGTAAAACAAAATCAAACGAACATTAAAAAACACTTTTATTTCAACATTTTCCACATGAAAAATTATACCAATCAAAAACAATAATTTACAATTCTCAAGAAAACAATTCTAGACAATTCAATTCCCTGGAATTCGTTTTCTAGGCAATTCAATTCCATCTTTGCAATTAAACGGACCCTACGTGTTTGTAGCTTGAAATTCGAACTTCAATTCCACTTTCATATCAAACAGCCAAAGTAGAAAACGGATTCCTCGAATGTGACATTTTTCATGAAATTTGGTGCTATCAAATGGACCTTAATACTAAAATTGTACATGAAAATCGAACAATGGAACTGTACATTAGCCAAAACTGATGTGCGGAATTTCGTGTTGGTTATTGGATTTAATCATCACAGTAAGAAACTAATTTTCCTTTGAAGATTAAACCCATATGAATAAGGATGTTAGATCACCTTGAGATCATTGGATGCTTTTAATCCTCATACATGAAAGGGAAAATGATTACCTCACAGGAGCTTTTAATGATCAAGCCAAATGCGTCATCCCTTAAACCTTCTTCTTTGTTCTCCTTTAGGTGCCTCCCTTTTTTGAGATATAAAATATGGCTAACCCTAAAAGCATATAAAAATGTGCGCGTAAAGGGCCTATTTATAATACTCAATCAGGGATTGAAAATTGCATAAATTTCTTTGAACTTTATTGTAGTGGACCAATTAAGTCACATACCTTTATTGGAGTCAAGAGACGGACCTAACTAGACTTACATGACTCAAACTCCAATAGATGTTTCTAATTGGGTCAACTCTTGACCAATTGAAATACTTCTATTAATCCCGACCCATTCTACCAAAAAATCCAGATTACACTCTCAAGTTGAGTGATAGTTATAAAAGCAAATTTTGATCCAATAACAATATCATCTTATTATCGTTCCACAAGTCGACCCTTATTTGACCATCAATATGTTGAAATTGGCAAAATGACTATTTTGCATTTCAACATGTATTAGCTTTTAAGTTTCATTTTCATACAACAAATTCGTTGTGATCAAATCACAATATAAAGTCCAACGATCCCATTATCAGACTACTGAGCTCAGATTCAATTTGCCTAAGAAAAATACCTTAGAGTGACGATCATCTCATCTTAATGATTAATGAATTCCACCGTCACAAGTCTATGATCTCTAATTGTTTCGGCCCGATTCTCAAAGCTCCGAGATCAATCTTTTAATTAAGACTTCACTCATTGGTATCTCAAAAATTTTGAACTAGCAATTAAAGGTACATTACTCGCTCAAGATTTAGGTGATTTGTTTGATAATCGAGTAGAATCTCATTTCGAGCGGTCACAAATGAGTCATCTACACAGTCTCGTTCAATAGGCATCGAAACACATTATTGTTCTTATTCCAAAATCTAGACAAATCTTAATAAGAACAATGTAATTTTACTAACATAAAACGTCCAACTTTATGTATTGATTGTAAACGACATGTTTTTTTTTATCACATCACGAATTGTGTCTTAGTATACCCGAACCATCGAGTATATAATTTGTGATATCCTATATGATCATCGAACCTTAGATAATTGTTTCGAATTGTAACACGGGAATAAATGGATGTCAATTTACAATGTTGTTTTTACAAAATACTAATCGAAGAAAGGACTTCAACCTATCATTTCCACCACTTTATTTAAAAAAGCTTCAACTAAAATATGGGATTTCTAGCTTCGATAGCATTGTTATAGAGTATTATCATCATTTTATCCAAAAGTTATAGCTTATAGGGAAGGTATAATTCACCCTATATCACTAAAAATAAAGTCTGATTGATCTGGACTTAAAAGATTAAAGTTGGAATGTAAAAAACAAATTCAAAAAAAATTCAACAATTTCCACCATACACATTACTTTTGTGTTTTTTTTTTTTTTTTTTTTTTTTTTTTTTTTTTTTGATAAATAAAAATTCTCCTTTTTTTTATTTTGTTATTTTGTTTAGTTTAGTTTTTTTTTGGAAATTAAAAAAAAAATTAAAAAAAAATTAAAAAATTTCCCCCAAACCCTTTTTTTTTTTTTTTTTTTTTTTTTTTTTTTTTTTTTTTGGCATGGTCAAAATGAATAAGCCCTGTCTGACTACCAGTAAGAAAAGTTTTTGAAGGAAAAGTGTGTTTTGAAATAGTGATTTTTTGAAAAATGTGTGATTAAAAAATAGAAAAAATTTTGAATTTTCAAGTAAAATATTTTATTGTGAGAAAGTACAATTAAAAATAAATTTGAGAAAAAAGAGTTTTATTTCGGGGGAAAATTCATAAGTCGGGCAATAAATATAGGGCAATTCAATTTTTAGGTTTTAAGTTTCAAAATTTAAAATTCAGGTACTAATTAATTAATTAAAAATATTTTATTAATTAAATATATTAAAGTCACAATTATATAATTAATGGTCATGTGTGTGTACTTATAGGTCATATTATCAAATTAATTAGTCGCAAATTATTTCGTAAGGTCAATAAAAAAATTTGAGAGGTTATAGTTTATTACGTTAGTCACAAGTTAAAAAATTTTTTTGTCACAACTTATTTGTCGATCACAAAGTTCAACTTAGTTGGTCACGAATTATTTTTCAGTTACAAATTATCGAATTTTTAAGTCACAATTAAATCGTTGATCACATATAACCAAACAGTTGGTCACATACACCAAAAAGTTTGTCACATAACATTACCACCAACACTATTGCTACCACCATCACAGCCACTTGCGACCACCACCAACATAGTCTAATAGGGCCACCATCACCAACACAGCCCACTTGCGACCACTACCACCTCATCACTGCCACACACCACAACAAACCGAAAAACACCACCACAACAACCATTGGCCACACGCACCATCATAACCATCCAAGAAATCAAACTTGGAATTTTATTTTATTTTATTTTTTAAAAAAAAGGAAAGAAAAGGAAATAACAAATCTCCATTGTCGTGGATCAACCACTAATAGATTAAAAGCAACGGCAATGGGCACGCCACCAACGCTTATCACCATATCACGATAAAAAGAATAGTGGGAGGAGAGGAGAAGGGAATGATACTATTAGAGTCATTGATTCTAATGATGATCGATTGTAGTCTTGGAGAAGGAGAGTGTACCGATGACCTTCAATTAAGGGAAAGGCAGGGAGATAACGGATAGATGGAAAGGTGTTGTCAATGAAGAACTTCGTTTATGATGAAATGAGTAGAGAGATGGTCTTTGACGACGTGGTCTGTGAGGAAGAAGGTGGTGGAGAAACAGGGGGACAAAGAGAGGGAGTGGATAATACGAGAGAGAGAATGATTTAATGTTTGAATGGAGTAAAATATTTTATAATATAATTAATAATATCAAAATATGAAATTTTAACCTGATTTTGGATAAATAAACTTTATTCCTGATTTTTGAATTTTTATTTTTAAATACTTGCTCGTGTATTTTCTATTTATTTTATGGTTATCAAATGGAGCTAAAAATTAAATCACTGGAACTAGAGGCCATTTGGGCCACATCGCTAAAATATGGTCGTGAACCAGATAGGTGTCAGGCCCAATTCATGGGTACTATTTTAAACCCTAACCCTAATTATTCATCTACTCATCTCGCGGCTGTTAATCTCACTTCTCAGCGGGAAGAGTCCGCGTTAGGTCTGCTCGTATTACTTACTGAACATCCACCTGTCGTATATTTATATTCCTTTCTTCATGTGTGTTTGATCTTTGCTTCTAATTTGTTATTTTACGGATTTATTTCGATTTATTTCAGAGTTTGTTGTGGAAGAATTTGACTGCAACTGAAGAAAATGAGTAAAGGAGCAGCCGGTGCCGCTGTGAAGGGAGGGAAGAAGAAGGCATCGACGTTCTTGATTGACTGCTCGAAGCCGGTGGAGGATAAGATCATGGACATTGCTTCTCTGGAAAAGTTCCTCCAAGAACGCATCAAGGTCGGCGGCAAGCCCGGTGCCCTCGGTGACTCTGTTACTGTCACTCGCGACAAAAGCAAGATTACCGTAGTTGCCAATGAGACAAGCTTTTCGAAGCGGTAACTCTATAACTTCACACTACTTTTAAATTGATTGTGCCTTTTTAGAGCTGTTTGAATTTAAGTGATTTGGAAACAGTTACTTGACGGGGAATGAGCTGTGACAAAATATAGAATCAATGCGTTGAGAGTTAAGCACGAGTCAGGAGAGATTAGTTTATGCTTATTTTGAATATGCTTTTTCATTTTATTTTCTTACTACACCGGTCAGTCGATTGCTTATGAAAAATGACGTTGTGAAATTTGGGTCCGGAGGAAAAGCTGCATTTTTGGAATGGAAGAAGCAGAAGGGGAAGTAATATTCAGCTATTTAAGCTCATAAGAATTGGACATTACGTCTCACTAAGATTCAATGAATCTTGAGTAAAAGGTTGCACACCTCTGTGTGGAATACAAGGAAGATCATTTCTCAAATTTCTTTGTTATTTATGAACAGACACTCATAACGCCATGATTTGATAGGATAATGAGAAGAATTACTCATAATGAAGTTAATTCTTTATTACAGGTTTTCAGAAGTTGCTGGAGATTCTGTCTGGTTTTTTATTCACTACTATGTCATCGTATATTAGTTATCATTTTCATTCTATCAAGGTAGAAATTTGGAGTGTGTTTGGTTTGTCATTTTGAGGCTATTTTCAGTTTTCAATTTTCGAAAATACTCAAAACGTGTTTGATATATTATTTTCAAAAATGCAGTTTTGAAAACAAGGAAATTTTATAACACAAAACTTAAAACGATTTTTTGATGTTTTGATTGTTTTCAATGAAAACCCTTAAAAGACTCAAAACAAGGAAAATGAGCTTAAAAATTTCCCAAATTAAAATAATTAATAAAATCACAAAAAACTTACCTAAATACAAATACCCTTCTCCCTCTCTCTATCGATGCTCTTCCAAAATATCATAAAATTATTTCTAAAGTTTTTAAACCAAACGTTTTCTAATTTTTTGTTTTGAGAAACAGTTTTTGAGAATGACAAACCAAGCACTTTTTTTTGCAACTTTAAAATAATTCCTCAAAACAGAAACAGAAATCCAAACCAAATGCACCCTTATATTTCTTGGGGGAAGTATAGGTTTAGATTTTCAACCAAAATGGTGTAAATGAGCTGAGTAAGCTGAATAGAGATCAAAGGATAAAGGAGCTAAACTTTTTATGTCATCGAGGAATTATTGTGGTGTTTACAAGGGCCTACTTTTGTAATTTACTTAGTTTGATGGTACTATACTGCTATTTGATCTATTTGTTTGTTGTTTGTTGTTTGTTGTTCAATAATGCAATTAACTGACTTGTTATTCTGTTAATCACTTTGTGCTTAGGTACTTGAAGTATTTAACGAAGAAGTATCTGAAGAAGAACAATGTGCGTGATTGGCTGCGGGTGATTGCTTCGAACAAGGATAGAAATGTTTATGAATTGAGGTACTTCAACATTGCTGAGAATGAGGCTGAGGAGGAAGAGTAATGGAAGAACAGTTATTCATATTTCCCGTGTTGATTTTTGTTTTGGCTACTGTTTACTGTGTTGGACATCAGTTTCAATTTGCTTTTTCGGAATCAAAGGGTTTGGATGTTCGCTTTATAATGGAGTTTAACTATCATTTCGGTGCTAATATGCTGTAAACTTCATTTGGAATTTTATTATCTCGTGAATGGTAATGATTTACTAGCGGCTTTGCATGGACGGGGCTGGATCAGATTGTGACTTGTAATGAATATAATATTTCTTCATTTAAGAGCAACAGTTATTTAAGTAAGTTTACATTATTAGTGTGTGCGTCCTAGAATATTGGCTTCGGTCCCATAAAAGCATTGGTAATTTAAGTTGCACAGCGGAGGATCTATGCTAGGTTTTTGTTTTGGCTTAATGGCAGAAAACTTCCATAAACGCGATATATCCTCAATATATTGGAGATCGCATAAAATCTCGTCTATTTGAAGATTTTTGTGGGAAAAATTCCTTGCTGCCAAGATCCATAAAATTTTTCGTTAAAATAGTAAAAAATGTCGAAATTTAAAAGAAATAATTGTAATTTGAGTATCCGAACTTTTATTTTTTCACAAATTAAATTCGGAGTCTGTTTATGAGTGATTTTGAGAATTGATTTTTTGATCGTTAGGAGGAAAGTAAGGTTCACCCGTGAGAGAAGAAGTCAAATATAACGGTTGGAATAGTGAAATAACGTTCAAAAAATCAATTTTTTGGAGAAAAAATCGCTCCCAAACGGGTCCTTAATTTTTTGTGTCACCTACGATTTCAAATTTTTAAAATTTTATTTTTCACCACATCCCATCCCACTTCATCTTCTTTACCAAAAAATAAAAATAAAATGAAATAAAATAAAAAATTCTCTCCTTCAAACACCCAAGCTTTCCAGGTATTTCCTTAAAATTTTTCAATCTGTCATGATATCATGAGTTTTATTCTGGATCTTAAATTTCATGGCTTAATTCAATATCTGTACCGTACAAGCAAAAGCGGAGGCCTGTGGTTTTTCAAGTACTGCACACAAGTAGTGATGGCAAGCCGGCTCGGCCTTTTAACCCACGAGCTCGGCTCGGACTAGTGGCGAGCCGAGTCGTAGCTCGTGAAAGACGAGCCGAGCTCGTGAGTTCACGAGCCCATGAGCCGCTCGCGAGGTTGTGAGTTTTTAAATTTTTTTTTTTTTTTTTTTTTTTTTGTAAATTTGCACATTTTGAACCTTTCGTCAAAATGGCTCGTGGGCCGTGTGCCCATGAGTCGCTCGTGGGCCGTACGGCTCGGCTAGTGGAATTGAGCCCCTGCTTGGCTCGGGCTTGGGCTCGCGAGCCGGGTTTTGACAAGTCGAGCGGTCGAGCCGATGAGCCGCTCGACCCTTTAGACATCCCTACCCACAAGTGTTCCAATCTCGACGTTTTTGGTTCTCACATCGGTTTAAAGTTGAACCCCCAGAAGATGATGTTCTAATCGAAGAAGATGCCAGTATCCTCGTGCTGATGACAAGGCCTACCAAGTAAAGGCCTGGGGCCTCAACTGTTTGGGGGCCTAAAAAAAAAAAAAAAAACCCCAAAAAGGCCTCTCTCTCTTTTTGTGTGTGTCTTCCATCATTTCTTGAAGGTGAATTATTTGGATTCAAAAATCAAAACGTTTATTCTTCGAGGCCATTTGAATTAGCTACAGCAATCAATAGTAATGTATGCTTTAGGGGAAGAAATATAGACAATGGACATTAATAGGAGTTAGGACGCTATTTGATTTCACAAGAGTAGAGAAAGGAAGAGTGTTGAAGTGTATTGAACTTATTCAAAATTTGACATCAATTAGTAGTACTTCGTCACCTTCCATTACTACAAATATGGCTACTAGTGTTATTCCATCATCAGTGCCCCAAAGTCCAAATGGGGTGTTGGAGGCTGCTAGCTTGAGCTATAAAAGTAATGAGAGAAATCCAAATGCTTCAGATGCGAATAGAAGAAGATTGGACTAAATTGAATATCAGGTTTTGTGAAAGGGGAGGCTAAGTATCAGTTTTAGTGAAATAGAAGACTTTGGTACGAGGTTTCAAAAGTGCCGACAAATAGAGAGGTTAAAAGGAGAACTTGTCAATTACTATATCAATATACTTAAATTGGGTGGCTAAAGACAACTTTCAAGTATTGATGGAAAATTGTCTCTGATGAAAAATAGACGAGCGAAGGCTTAGGCTAGAAGAGAAAAAAATGCATTTGGGTTCTTGGTTATTTGTTTATATAATTAATACCTTGGGATGACATTTCATGTATCCTTTCATTAAACCAGAAAATTAGTGCTAAATAAACAGGTAGAGTTCTCTTCAAAAAATGAAAAATAAAATTTCTATACCAGTTCTTTTTTTAGGTTGTACAAAGTATTCATTTAAATGACATTTACTTAAAGATTGTTAGGCTTGCTTAAATTTTAAAAAAAAAAAAGTTTGCGTTTAAGGGCCTCGAAAAAAGGGAAAAATTCATAATTCAGGTGTATTGTTTACACCAATTCAAAAATCAGATAGATAGTTTGAAATTTCAAAATTCAGGTATATATTAATTAATTAAAAATATTTACCAAATAAAGATAATAAAATCACAATTACACTACTAATGATCACAGATTTATTTACGGGTCACATATAATCAAATTAATTGGTCACAAATTAAAAAATTTGTATGTTACAGATTATTTCGAGGTCACAAATCAAAAATTTTGTAAGTCACAAATTATCAAATTTTAAGGTTACAGACCAAAACATTGAGGTCACAGATTATTATTATTATTATTTTGGTCATAGATTATCAAATTTTAAGGTCACAGACCAAATAGTTAATCATATATACCAAACACTCCACTCTCGATATCAGTCAATCACCAATACTTAGTCATGAAGCAACCAAATAGTTAGTCACAATCACTATTACACCCCGCCCTCGCTACAACACCACCATGACCATCACCAACAATAAAAATGACCACCAAAACACAATGATCGACTGCACCACACCACATCCACAGCTCACCACCACCATCATCGTCGCCATAACCACCACTACCATCGCGCCCCACTGTAACCCTAATCCATTACAACCACCATCGCTGTCGCCAGTACACCACACCTCAAATCACTGGCACACCATCACCACCTGTAGAATTACCACTTTATCGTCACATCAACAACACCACCGCTTGTAGAATCACCACTTTAGCGTCACATTAGCAACGCCCCGCAGCAGCCATAGACCGATCTGAAAATGTCGCCACCACCACCACGTAACACCACTATCATTCAGCCTTGAACACGCACTACCATGAATAAACAGAGATCACATAGCTAACTTCGCGCGGTGCCGCCACCATCAACACCAACGCAGCGCCTCCACTACCACCACGTCACACCTCTCTATACACATAGCTCTGGATCTAACCGCAACTGAAGTTGTAGTAGCTACAGATCGGCGCTATGTACAGATCTAGGCAACTCCATCTCGCCGCAATTCACCACGCCGCCACAAGCAGCGGAAGAACTATGCGACGATGAATGAGGCCCTCACCGTCGCACTGCTCGGTCTATCCGTCAGAGAAATGATGGAAAGAGGATAAGAGATGGGAGAGAGGCGAGTTAGAGAGAGAATATTTTAGGGTTGGTGATTTTAGAGAGTGGAAATGAGTTTTAATTTTAAATTTTATTATTAATATTTAAAAAATGTTATGATTATCTGATTTTTGAATTAAAAAACTTTAAATCTTAATTTTGATTTGGGGATTTAAAACTTAGGGACGGCTGTAATTTCCTCTCGGAAAAATTAATCGTCTAGAGCCTCAAAATTCTAAGGGCCAACCTTGGCTGACGATGTTGCTTCCCGAGTTGGAAATCTCCACTTTCGAGAAATAATCCATGACCGCAGATATCTCTAATATCTGAAAAAATATTAGGGAGAATATTATGGAAATTCTGTATCTTTAACACGTTTGGATCATTTAAAAGAACAAAGTGTTAAGACTAGCTGTGATAAACACTGAATTGAATCTATTACAGGTTCACATAATATTTTTTGATCTGAGACTGCTACACCAGTTGTATATTCTGGGTTTCAAATTCGTCTGAAAATTTTATAAGGACAGGAAAAGAAGGAACAATAGACAAGGTGGTATTAAATCAAGTAAATTATAAAACCATCGATATATAATCATTTAGGTCTTTGATGAGCTAGTTTTCAGATGGGGATCATCAAAATAAAAAGAGAAAAAGATGAGTTATTATTCTTGATTGATATACCAAGAGATTTCCATTTTCATACAAAAAAGGATAAAAGGCCTGAGAGGAATTCTAAAGTTTAATGTGATAAGAAGAATGCCCTGCGTACAGGGCATTCTTTCACAGGGTCTTTACAGGCCCCTCACTGTGTGGAGGGGCCCACCTGTATTTAAAAAAAAAATTATTGTGAGGCCCACCTTGTATCTTCCCTGGCAGGGGCCTGTGAACCAGGCCTCCGTAACTGTAGCATCACTCGTGTGATAATGGTTTGAGATGGGTGTGATTAGACTGATGGGAGAGGAGACTATTGTGCATTGCTTGACTTTTTTCTTGATTCAGCAATACTAGAAAGGATTATTCTATGTATATATAATAGATTACACCCCCTCACATGAAGGGGGGTTCACGAATATTTTATTGTATGTGAGCCCCCTTCATGTGAGGGGGTGTAATGTTTTGTACAAACCATTGTGTACACATAGCACTTTAAAAAGAGAGAGAGAGAGAGAAAGGTGAATTTACCAAATGTTTTCTTCGAGATCGGAATTGAGGAATCCATAGTATTGGAGAAGAAGGTGAAATGAGGTGGGCTGGAAAATAAAGTTTACAAGATTTAAAATTGTATGTGACACATATAAAAAATTTGAATACTGAAATTGCAATTATTCCTTTTAGTTTTGGCATTTTTTTTACCTTTTTTAACGATAAATCTGACAAATGTTGACGATAAGGAGGGTTTTTTTTACACACTAAAAGTTTCAAGCGGGGTGTTTTCTACGATTTTGAATGGGTAAGGGGATATATCACACATGAAAACATTTCTAAGAGGTTTTTTGCTATTAATCCTTTTTATTTTCATCTGTACACACGTGTATTATCAAATGCTCGAATGTCAAGTTGATCACACCTAAAAGAAGAAAAAATTGTGTTGGTGAAGTTTATAGCAGCTGAAGCCACTTAAATTGATCGGCTCTGTTGCGTAAG